ATGCGTTGGTGGGTTATAGGGGGAATGGGTCTGGGTGGGATGCGTTGGTGGGTTATGGGGGAACGGGTCTGGGTGGGATGCGTTGGTGGGTTATAGGGGGAATGGGTCTCGGTTGAGGGTCGGTGTGGACTTGTTGGGCTGAAGGGCCTATTTCCACACTGTAGGGATTCTATGATTCTATAATTCCACATGACAAAGCACTTTAGTGTCAGGCCCAACAAGCCAGATTGAACTTAATTAGCTTCCAGTTCCAGTAGATGAGAGCTGGGTGCAGTGATCATCCATTGACTGTATATTTGCTACTCCTTGAATGAAATAGTTCCTCGACGCAAATATAGATTTTTTGTTTTTGGCTTCATTTTCCTTGTTCAATAAAAATTCATATTTTCAACTATGTGAAGGCTTTCCAACACTGGACAAGGACAAAAAGTAATGCTGGGAGTTCAGGAAAGAGTAGCAGTCCTCCAGAGAGGGTTCTATGCTGGTATGACAGTAGGGACGGGTAATCCACGGAGCTACAGTTACAAGATAATAATCAGTGGGTGATGATGTAAAATAGCAATACTTTTAAGAATGCAAGCTTGTATTTCCAATGAAGTGTCATCCATGTGTCCCCTGAAACTTTCCTTTCTCCTTTCCCCTCCACTAAGTGCACTGTGAAACAAATGTTCCTCATTTGATCCACAGCTGGGAATTGAATATGGCGCTGGCACCAGAAATTCTGGTAGTGGCAAGTACTTCTGCCAGTGGTGAGTACAAGGTAGTATGAGCACAGTGCTTTGGAGGCATATATGTGATCCATGTGAGAAGACCCATTAGATCACACCAAGGGAAGCCCCCTGAGCACACACTTAGCTGACTTTTGGTAAAATTCAGTCCACTGTAATGTTATGGTTTGGGCATCTTTTAGTCACTTCAATTTCATAGCTATCTTTACACATGAGCTGAAATATCCTTCAATTCCATCCTCTGTAAATTTCAGCACAAAATGAAGATTTTCAGTTGAGGTGAATCCATCAGGAGGAATCAGAATAATCCCCTGAACTAGTATCTCTTCTTTCTTCCTTTACTGTAAGCTTTTCTCCAGCCAAGTCATGGTTTCTGGGTTCTATCATTCCCTTTATCTCTCTCTCTCAATCTAAAGTTGTTTTCATACTATTTTCCTTTCCATTGCTCTTTCTTTGTCTTCTTCTTTTCTTGTCAAATCCACTCTTTTTTTTAAAACATTCTCCTCTCTCTTGACTTTTCTTTCATCTCTTTTTCTCCAATTCAAGTGTTTTCACTTGTAACTGAACCTTAGCTAATTCTATATCTGATACATCACTTTCAGGGTTCTTTTCTTTCATCTCTGAATGATGGGTGTTCATTTCAACGTATCACACTTACAAGATCCTGTCTTTTTTCTGACTTCAATTGGCTCACTTGCTCTCTCAGTTTAGCCTTAGACAAAGATTTGTTTGTTGAAACCACTTTTAAATGTTCTATTCCCAGGAAAGTCTTAGCAACGGTCAAAGCCACTTTAAAATTCCAAAGTAACAAAACAAAATTCCAACACATGTAATGTATTTCACAACAATTCACCTGTTCCTATTCCAGTATCTCTTTTCATTTTTTTTATTGATCCCCAACTCCCACTTAAATTCAAAATATTTTGATTCTGGATGAAACCGTATTTTGTTATGATTCTACCTGACGTTAATACTGGGCGAATGAGATCTCAAAGCAAAATCTGGTTTGTTAGATCCTAACCTTCTTTTTCCCCACAGTGGAGGTCAGTTATTGAACACACCCACAGAGGCTGCCAGTGTACCTTTAACACATAAAATTAAACATTTATTAAATTTGGGAATAAACTGAACTATCTTATACTGGACTTCAATATAAACACCTGCAATAATTTAAATTCACAGTGGTTTTGTTTTTAAATCCCAGAAGCATGCTTACAGACA